TTGGGTGGAACCATCTTGAGACAACAGCAGGATATGAAGGGGACCAATTATCATGGAAGAGGTTCCCTCCCAACTCAGGTCATGCCAGGCTCTAGCCCCTCATCCCAGTTGGGTGTAGGTCCACTTCAGTTGTCCCTCACAGCATGGCTGTTCTCTGATTGCAGAGGCAGGTACTTATAGGCAGGACCAGGTTCTCACTTAGGCTTATCTGATTAGTTATGTCCTTCTGATGCCACAGGCATAAAGGTGCTGGGAAGCAAGGAAGATTCCAGAGAAAGGAGAATTCCAAAGAAGGAGAAGGGCAAAGGGGCCAGGCAGGAGGAAAGGGCACGTCCAGACCAGAGACATCTGGTTGCAAGAATGGCTGGGCCCCCAAGTCCAGAGATTTTTCTGACTTCCACAGGAGTTTGTATCTTTTTTTTTCTTGAAGGCAGTGGGGCACCATGGAGGTTTTTGTTTGTTGTGCTGTGTTGTTTTGTTTTGTTTTGGCTAGGCAATGGGGTTAAGTGACTTGCCCAGGGTCACACAGCTAGTAGTTGTCAAGTGTTTGGTCTGAGGTCAGATTTGAACTCAGGTCCTCCTGAATCCAGGGCCGGTGCTGTATCCACTGCACCACCTAGCTGCCCCATCCGTGGAGGTTTTTGAGTGGGGAGAGGGGGAGAGTGCTATAAGTTACAGAGCTGGAGGGACCTTATTGAATCAGAGACCAGTTAGTCTAACTCCCTCATTTTACAAATGAGGAAACTGAGGCTGAGAGCGTTAAAGTGACTCAGGTTTGCATAGCAAGTAGATGTTTGAATCAGGATTTGAACTCAGATCTTCCCGACTCCAATTTGGCCACTCTATCCACTTTGACACCTCATTGCCTGAGGAGGTTAAGTAACTTGTCCAAGATCACACAGGCAGGATTTTTAACTCAGGTCCTCCATCAACATGAAATTCTTTTGTTTCCTTCTTCAGTTCTCTTTCTTTTGGCATCTGCACGGAGGATAGATTGGAGAGGAAAAGACTTGGAAGACCAAGTAGGAGGCTAATGCAGTAGTGTATCCGAGAGATCACAAGAGCCTGTATTAAAATGGTAGTATCCTTTGGACTTTTGAGCCAATAAGGTGAAACAGAGAACTCCTGGTGGAGCAAGGAGTCACCACTGCCTATAGCCTGTTCACAGCTGTTGCCATCAGCAAGGATGCTGCATGAGGAAGGCAGAGCTGAAACAGATCCAAGAGAGCTGGGGGGACTGAAGCAGAGCTGGAGCTGAAGTATAAGACAAAGGGGTGGAAAGATAGATCACCAACCTTAGTGGCAGAGACAAAGCAGGTCTGGACCAGCAGCTGCCATGAAACCTTAACTGTTGGAGCCAGGAGACTCCCCTCTCACATTCTACACCCCTTACCTTGTTTTCTTCCCTGATTATTTGCAGAATTGTTCCTAGTGGGTTCCAAACAGGAATCCTTATTCTTTCCCATTATCTACCAGCCTGAAGGAGAATTGGAGAAAGATGATCAGGCCTGTCTCTTTCTTGACAATTTTTTTCCACTTTATTGGATTTTAATAAACCATATGACCACTTATGGCTTATGAATGAGGCTGGTAGACAGGGAACTTTTCCAGACACTTGGGGATTGGAGTAGAGCCATATAGAGATTTCCATAATTCACTGAGGTATTTCATTTTCATAGGCCTAGATCAATACAGATTGGACACCAGGAGTCATAAAGCCTTGAGCAATGTAATGAGAAGTCTATGACCTTGTAGGCAAGCGCCCTCTGGTGGGTAATAGAGGTATTACAGCCTTTGGGGAAGTCCCCACACGTTCATTGGATGCCCTCTGATGCATGTGCTTTCCTGTGGTTGAACTGCCCCACAATCCAGTGGCCAATGTTTTATCTAAACTCTGTATCACTCTTAGGGTCTAACATAGTCCTCTTCATCAAACAGGCGATTAATAAGTGTAAAGGAACCTGCATGGACTTTATTTTCTTTGACCAGGACCTAGAGTGATTTCCTGCTGGGTCCATCCTTCTGGTCCTCGGATCAGCCAGGTCTGCCCCATTCTGCTGCCCATCAATAAAATCCAGAAGATAACATTCTCTGTACAGGACTAAACTCTTCTGCGCCTCCCTGCAGAAATACTGGAAGTCCCAAGTCCATGTGTCCATAGGTCCTACCTTGTCCCTGTAATCACTGATCCATCCCAAGGCTCTTATATACCACGGAGAAATGAATTCTTGATTGAAACACATGCTTTCTGTAGTGGTCTAGAGCAGCTGTCCACAAAGTGGGAGACCATGGCATGACCCCAAGGGATGTGTAATCAACCAATGGATAAGAAAATCGGTTGTATCTCATCTTCCCCTCCAGTTTGTCATGGGCTTGCCTCCAACATAACTATAACAACTTCATTCATCTCAATACCTTTCCTTATTTGTTCCTCCAGGGCTTTCTAGGTTGTGTGGTTGGACTCCTCTCAAAGAAGTTATAGCCTAACAGGGACCCAGGTGCCCACAGCAGCTATACCAGCAAAATTCTCCATGCCCTCCCTCCCCAAATCTAGTTTCCCCACCCTACGGTCCCTAGATCATCTGTTGGCTGTGGCATGATGGAGGTTTGAGATCCAGAACAGTAATCGGTAAAAGCCTGGCACACTTCACACACCAAACACACACACACACACACACACACACACTTTTCCCTTTTCATTTGTGTTGAAGATTCTGATCCGTGATCGAATGAGCATGCAGATCACTGGTCTAGAGGACTTTGACGCAAACTGCAAAGACCTTTTGGAAGTCATTTTGGACAGATTGTTTCTTGACTTCATGCGTCTCCACTCAAGGGCATAGACCTGGTCAATTTCTAGGAATATTCATGTGCCTTGATGTACCCTACCCGCACTTTAAATTTCTGGAATTACTTTGTGTTTGCATCCTGTTTCTGATCCACATATGGCCCAACGAAGGTGGCAGGTCCTTACATCATTATTGAGAGATATTTAAAATGTGCGTTGTAACTTAGTTGAAGGCTGTTAGCTCCTGTCCAAAGTAGAGGTTGTACCCTACAATATGTTCCAGTGTTTGATAGTTCTGGGAACCAGGGGTGATTATAGACTGAGGTGTTTGTAGTATTCTTTCCAATAAGCAGCCTTGATTAGTAACTGAGTGGTGAATGTGGATGCCTGGCTCAAACCCAAATCAGAACCCAAGTAAGTCCTCAAGGGCCAATAAGCATCCTGTTCTGTGGGACTATTTATTTCTGTATTCACTGATCCCATACTTTATTACAGATTCCAAGAGTTTATCACACATTGAAGTGAGACTTACTCCTCCTTTTTCTCACATGTCCAAGGCCAACACCACATATTCTGGCAAGGGCTGGGCCTTGGAGTAATCATGACCTTGAGAGTCCCAAGAGAATAGAAGGCACTAAGGGGCAAAATGCCTTCCATCTCCTGCATGGCAGGAGGGTGGGGGGAGTACCTCTTAGAGCTGCCTTTCTCTGGGGGAACTCAGTGAAATCTGGTATGTCCAGCCATTCGACTGTGTATCTTCCCCTCCTAGCTCCACTCCTCCTCACTGACCCCTCCCCCAGCTCAGGTTCATCTTTTTTCATCTTGTCTTTGTCTGTGTTTCTGTTCCCTCCATCTCCCAAGCAATCAACAGGAGAGCTGAGCTCAGGGTTAAACTTACATTGGAGATGGTGTAGATAGGGCTGAGAACATGAGGGCAAAAGCTGGAGTACCTATGGGGTTGAAGACCATTGGTAAGAATCCTGAAACAAGTCATGGAAGGGAGAGCCATGGGGAGGATATACAGAAGTACAGAGATGAAGAGGACCTCAACCTGGAGACTGGTAAAAGGAAACAGGAAGAGGACATATTTTCACTTGGTTCTCCCAGTTTCTTAAATTTGGCCCCTCATAACCATTCCCATTGTACTCAAACCCTCACACCTAACTCCTCATAAACCCATCCCCCCATATAGCCCCATACCAGTCTATCTTACCCAGGCCATCACACCTGGAGTCAGGCCCCATTTCTCATACTGGCCTATTATGCACAGCCCCTCACACTCAGGTCTGGAGTGTTGGGCTCTAGACTAGACTCTGGATTGGGCCCTGAAGGTGCTGCTTCTACTTCTCTGCTCATTCTCACTCTAAATGGGAAGGTCCAGTGCACAAGGAGATGGTGCATTCTGTCCTGATTTCTTAGAGCCCCAGAATCTTGTCTATGCCTGGCTGCTCCTTCTTAGAGCCTCCACTTCCCTCCCCTTTGCCTCTGGGAAGAAGAAGGTGCCTTAACAGCAATAACTCTTCTCCCATCCAATCCAGAACCCAGCTGGCCCCTCCAGGCTGAAGCTTCTGAGTGTAGCTCAGATGGAAAGCCATAGATCATGGGCTAAGGGGTGGTAATTTCTGAGTCAAATTGAGATGGGCTAGGTGGAGCAATGGATAGAACACTGGCCCTGAGGTCAGGAGGACCTGAGTTCAAATATGGCCTCAGACCAAACACTTGACATTTACTAGCTGTGTGACCCTGGGCAAGTCACTTAACCCCAAAAATTGAGATGGCCTGAGACCATGAGAAAGGGAAAAGGTCATTGTGTCATACAACTTAGAGTTGGAAGGGATGTTAGAGATCACCTAGGCCAACCTTCTTATTTTACTGATAAGGTAACTAAGGCCCAGGGACATATAGTGGCCTGCCCAAAGTCACACAGGTAAGGAACAGAAGGTTTAAACCAAGGTGCTCTGACTCCAAATTCAGGGCTCTGGACTCCTGGGTCCAGTGAAAGTGGTATGGGGTTATTGGATAGGAATCCAGGCAAGTCAGGACTTCTGAGACTCAATAGACCAGTAAGACAGGGTAGGTCCTGGACTTAGAGGCTGGGCAGGGTGGGGATTCCTGGGTTTGATTGGGCTACGGTAGGAAGGAGGCTGAAGGAAAGGAATCGACGGGGACTCCTGAATCCAACCTACACAGAGCAGACAGGTCAGGCCAGGGGTGGTGGCAGGGGGCAAAGCCGGTCCCTTGTATTGGATGGGGTTGAGGACAGGTTCAAGGCCAAGGCTGGATTGGGGGCAGTGTTAGGGGGCAGATGGTGATCCCTTATCTTAGAGGGGCCTGGGGCTAGGGTCGAGACCAGCATGGAGGCTGATGACAGGTCCAGGCCGGGTCATTCCGGTCAGTAGCCCCAGCAGGCTGAGTAGGGTGGAAAGGAGCAGTAGGAAGGAGGCAGCAAAAAGCAGGGCTGGCAGCGCACTCAAGGCCATGAGCAGCAGCGCTGGCAAAAGATGCTTCCATACCGCGGCCACTACAGGCCAGAGCGAGCGCAGCAGGTGGCATCCCGTGGTGAAGAGAGCATGGCACAGGCCCAGGCACAGCAGCAGGTAGAGGCCGGTTTCGAGCAGCCACAGGCCCCGCTGCAAGGGCACCCACCAAGAGGGCGAAGAGCACCAGGATGCCAAGCGTCGGCGGGCTCCATCTGGGCCGTCCCACCACTGCTCCCAAGTTCGCCACAGAGCCCAGCTCCGCCAGTTATCCCTCAAGCCTTCTCCCGCTCCCGCTTGGTCGGTTGACCCCTCGGTTCTGGTCCGCTGCATTGACCCGGTGCACCTGCCGGGGAGGGGTAAAGAGAGAGGCTGTGATCCCCAAGCACCTAGTGGGGAAGACTGGCGTTCCGAACATATCTAAGGGAAGAAGATCCCAAAGAGCGGGGAGCTAAATGAAACTACGAGCAGCAGGCGATGAGTCCAAAGTACCGAGGGAGGAGGAATCCCAAAGCACCTACCGGGAGTGGATGGTGAAGAAAGAGGTATGCCTAGTGGTCCGAAAGAACTTGGAGAGCTTGAGTGATATCCGAGTCGTTAAACTCGAGGAGGGTTGATTCTACAGCCTCGGGGGAATAAGGGGCTGATTCTAAGTCCTAGGGAATGATCCCGAAGCACCGCCGGGGGAGAGGTTTGTGGTCCCAAAGTATCGGGGAGCAACAGGAAGCGATCCCAAAGTAGTGAGGCTCGGGGAGAGGAAGGAGAAGAGAGAGGAAGGAAAAGATAGGAAAGGGGAAGGGGAGAGAACTCTCTGGTAATGAAATGCCCTGGGGGGAATCTTGCTTATTTGAAGGAGTAGGGGGCAGCAGTTTCATTAGTTTCTTGGACAGACCAGGGTGGAGGAGGCTGAGGGATCCAGGACCCCTTGGGGCAGAGGTGCCAGTTGCCAAGCCCAGCTGTGAAGAAGAGGTCGTGATTTGGCCCCTGGCTGGGAGCTTGGAGAAAGGGCCTACATATGCCTTGGTCTCAGGATCCCCACCTGGGAACAGTTGTCATTAGAGGCCAGGGAATGACAAACCCTGTGGGTCTTACTTGGAGCCTTGCCTGCCTCCAACCACCCAGCCCTAAGTCCAAGATCTCTAACATGGGGACCTTCAGAAACATCTGGTCAGTGGATTTGGAGGCAAATCTAAAGCATAATCTGTAGTTTGTGAGCGAGTGAGTGTGTGTGTGTGTGTGTGTGTGTGTGTGTGTATACAGAGGAGGATCAGAGAGCTTAGGGAGAATCAAGGATCAGAAGGATTTGGAAAGGAGGGAAAAGTAAAAGCTTTGGGGCCCAGGGCAACAGTTCCCTGGTTCTCCCTCTGAGGCAGGAGCTGATGAAGCCTGAGAAGCCACAGCTGAAGGCTGAGATTCTTTATCTTTTGTAGCCTTCTAACCTAAAGCAACCACCCCAGATCCCTGTTGCTGCTAGGGTTAGTTGAGAGTTCAGAAGTTTTTCTCTAGTGCCCCATCAGGGAGGTACACCAGGGCTCTGGAAGACTAGAGCAGAATAAAGCAAGCCCTCCCTAGCAAACTGTGGAGAGGCTCATCATCTGAGAAGGTCGGCCAGTGCTTCAATGTTTGGGAAGACAGCAGTCTAGAGGGACCATATACCAAGGTATGGAAGGGTTGCGGTCTGTATCATCTACATCAGCAGAGAAAGTAGCTACAGATCCTTAAAGTATTGGCAGAAGCTTGGAACCAGCTCCCAGATGACTGGAAAAGTATGTGAAGGCAAAAGGAGTCAGAGACAGAGGCTGGGGGAGGAAGCAAGTGTAGACGAGATGTAATGTCTAGCCATAGCCTTTGCCTCTCAATATAGGTTTGCTCTGATACTTTTTTCCTTGATGACTTGTCAGACTCTGATTGGGCTTTGTTCCATGAAAGACCACAACGATGCAGCAGAAGGCCCCCTCTTAACTATTCCTCCAGGGATCATGGAGTGTTGGGCTTCTAGAAATTCTTTAAACTGCTCTAGGAAAGCAGGTGGGTTCTGGGATCCCAGTATTTGATTCCAGAAGTTGAGATAGAAGAGAATAAGGAAGGAAACAAGGGAAGAGATGGGAGGCAGGGAACCAAGGAAGGGACCAAAGACATAGAAGTGAAAGGGAGGAGTCAGGGGAGTCGAGAGTTAGGGAAGTGAGCCAGGAGGGGCTAATGAGATAAGTACCAGGGGAGGGAACACTAGAAGGGAGGAGAGAAGAAAAGGAGATAAGCCAAGAGAATAGAACCATGAACCTGAGGAGACAGAAGATGGGGTTGAGGTTGGGAGGGGGACAGAATCATAGACTCTAAGAGCTAGAAGGAGCCTCAGCCTAATTCAACCTGTCCCTGAACAATGATTCTCTCTCCGACATCCCTGACAAGTGACCGTCCATTCAACCTTTGCTTGAAGACTTCAAATTAGAACCCACTACCTCCTGAGACAGTCAATTCTACATTTGGGTAGCTCTGATTTTAGGAAGTGTTTCTTTATCATGAGCCTCAATAAAGCTTTCTGTAATTTCTCTCCATTGCTTCCCTTTATGGGGTTAAACAGACAAATCGAATTCCAGTTCTTCATGACTAGTTTTCAAATTCAAAGACAAATAAAGACAGCTATTACATTTTCCCTAGGTCCTGTCTTCTGTCTTTCCCATTTCCTTCAACCAGTCCTCACATGGTTTGGTTTCAAGAGCCTTTATTATACTGCGTACCCTCTAACCATGTCCATACTGGATGGCTCTCTAATCACTTTGATATGGTCCTCCCTCCAATTGTCCATATTACAATTTATATCTTTTCACAACTGTCCGTATTACAATCTATATGTTTTCACCCTAACATGACTTGTGTATACCTTCCCATTAGTTCTTCCCAGGAGGTCCACTCAATATATTGGGTGGGGGGTCTTCCTTTAGCTATTGTGACATTGTGTGCATAGCAATGGAGTATTATACAGATTGTCTACTTCTGTTATAGGATCAGCCCACCTCTGCTTCCATTCATACATGTCTCTTATGATATCCTTTCTACCACTTCGCATTTTTACTTGTCATTTTAATTTTTAACTTTTGTTGATGCACTTTTTCCTTTTTTTTTTGCATCCCTATTACTTATCCATGACCACCCCCACAGAAACCTCTGTTGTAAAAAAAAAAAAAGTACAGTCATGCAAAACAAGCTAATGCGTTGTCAGTGTCTGAAAATGTCATTGTCCTGGACCTATGTTATCTTCCTCTTGTCCAGGAGACAGGTGGCATACTTCCGAAGTCAATCATCTAAAGTTACATTCATTGATCAATGTTCTGAAGCCTCTCAATGTTATTTTCCATTACATTAGTCTGATGATCATGTATGTTCTTTTTCTAGTTCTACTGTGCTCTGAATCATACAAATCTTCGTATTATGAGGGGCAGCTAGGTGGTGCAGTGGATAGAGCACCAGCCCTGGATTCAGGAGGACCTTAGTTCAAATCCGACCTCAGATACATAACACTTACTAGCTGTGTGACCCTGGGCAAATCACTTAATCCCATTGCCTAACCAAAAAAAAAAATCTTTGTATTATGTTTGATGGCACAATCATACTCAAGATACCACAATCTGTTCATCCATTCTCTAATCAGTGGACATACACTTTCCAGTTTCTTGCTACTACTAAAGTTTATACTATAACTATTTCCGTATACATATGACCTCCTCTGTCTTTGGCATCAGTGGCATATTCATAGTAATAACGTCACAATTTAGTGATTTTTTTTAGTCTAATTCCAAATTGTTTTCCAGAAGAGTTGGACCGATTCACAACTCCAAATGCGTTCATACGCTTGTCTTCCTGCAGGCCCTCTAACAACATTTTCATCTTTTGTCATTTTTGCCAATCTGAAAACTCAAGAGTTGTTTTTATTTTCTGCCACTTCTAAGCAATTTCCCATTGGAAATAATATATTGTAGATTATTCCTCAAAACTACATTGCTTGTCATATCTTTCATAAAATGTGGTACCCAGAACTGAATACAGTCTCACAGGTGTGGTCTGACTGTGATGAATAAGAAGAGGAATAACTTATCCCTCCCTTCTCTAAATGCAGTCTGGGACAGCCTAACTGTTCTCTGAGCTCCATCTCCTTCCTCTGGGCCCTTTATACGTGTCATTCATGTCTCGAATACACTCCCTCCTCTTCTCCATCTCTTAGAATCCTTAGCTTCCTCTTCAAAGCTCATTGCAAGTGCCACATGCTACATATAACCTTGGCTACTTCTCCAGGTAATGAGTACTCTTTCTCTTCAGATTGCTTTGCATTTACATATTGTATCCACCCTTTACCCTGTAGTAGTAACAACGATTTGATTTCTGGCTAGGTTTCCCCATCACCTTGCACACTGTAGGTGCATAATAAGTGTTTGTTGGCTGAATTGACCATTAAGGCATTTATATGTTTTGTTTTGCTGCCATATCACACTTTTGACATGTTTTTGATTATGAAGCCACTAACAGCCCCAGGCCTTTTCCACAAAAGTGGTTATCTAGCCTTTGGAGTACATGGTGGGCATGAACAAGGTGACATGCCATTACAAAAGAGGGGCAGCATAAAAGATTTCATAAGAGAAATATTCAGTTAGATCTTGGAGCCTGGGGAGACCTGCTGGAGACAGGACTCCTAGAATCTCAAAATGCCTCCAAGGCCATTTTTGCAGACTAAAAGCCAGAGTGAAGAGTGGACATTAGGCTTGGCATGAGCCTGGAAGCCATTTTGGTGAGAGATGTGCCCATACACAAGGCAGAGAACACTCTTCCAAGTATGCCTCCTTCTCTCCTCTGACTCTGCCTCCACCCTGGGGCAGGCCCTCATCTCCTCATGCCTGGATTATTGCAATGACCAGTTGGTCAGTCTGCCTTCCACAAATTTCTCTCCATTTTGGGCCATCTTCCATTCAGCTGATAAAGTGATTTTCCCAAAATTTGACCTAGTGTTTGACCGTATCACCCCCCACCTACTCAATAAACTCCAATGGCTTCCTATCACCTCTAGAATCAAATACAAAATCCTCTGTTTGGCATTCAAAGCCTTTATAATCTAGCTCCCTCCTACCTTTCCAGTCTTCTCACAATTTACACCCTGCCCCTTACTCTTTGATCCACCAACACTGGCCCCCCGGCCGTTCCACAAAAAAAGACACTGCATCTCTCTCTCTTTTTTTTTTTTTTGGCAAGGCAATTGGGGTAAAGTGACTTGCACGAGGTCACACAGCTAGTAAGTGTCAAGAGTCTTGTCTTCCTGAGTTCAGGGCCCTGACATTCCATCTCATGACTCCAGGCACTTTCCTTTGCCCATACCCCATCTCTGGAATGTTCTCCCTCCTTATCTCCCGGCTTCCCTGGCTTCCTTTAAGTCCCAACTAAAATCTCAGCTTCTAGAGGAAAACTTTCCAGATTCCCCTTTATTTTGATGCCTACCTGTCTTAGTCATTCCCTATTTATCCTGCCCGTAGCTTGTTTGTACGTATTTGTTTGCCTGGTATCTCCTGTCAGGCCGTGCACTCCTTAAGGGGGAGGGACTGGTTTTTGCCTTTCTTAGTATCTGTAGATAGCACAGAGCATGGCATATACACTGTACATGCTTAATGAATGTTTACTGACTAACTGGCTGGTGACAAACTCAACAGAACTGTACTGACCCAGGCAAAGATGACACACAGGCTTGTGGGAACAGTGGCGTGGTTCTAGCCTAAGTCCCATGGCAATCTTCCTACAAATCAAATCCTTTATCCGTCCTGAGTCCAGAATATTCCTGAAGACTAACTAAATAACATTTGACATAAAAGAGAAGTGTATAACTGGAAAAAAAGATGAGCCTGTTGCATAGTAAAGGTGAGACATGACACGTGGCCAACAGATGAGCTCTGTTAGTATCCAGGTAATGTCAAGAGAATGAGGGCTCAGAGGGCTCCCAGGATATTGGATGACCGTGCTGTAGTGGATTTTTGTGAGGACATGGGATAAGAATTGAGCAGGCATGGGCAAGGATATTCATGCACGGATGACTTGTGATCCACACATTGATGAGAATGGATCCCAATGGAGTCCTAATGTGGGACTACCCACATTAACAAGAAAGGAATCAGTGGAATGTTAGCAATCTAGCCATTACTCACCTATCCCACACTAAAGAAACTGATGTTTTGAACCAAAAGTGTAGAACGTTATGTTTATTCTTATTAAATTTTATCTGCTTAGATCTGGGCCAACATTTTGGCCTGCTTAGAGTCCTTTGTGTATTGACTCTATCATCCAATGTTAGCAATCTCTCTGACTTTCATAACATCAGACTGGATAAAAATGTTAAATAGCACAGATCCTTGGGGCACTTGGCTAGAGATAAAAACTCAAGTCAACAAGAACTGCTTAAAGCCTAAAGTTTCCCCTTTCCCAAATCCATCTGTTTTATCATTTAGCTCACATCTTTCCCTGTTGGCCTCAGGAATCAAATAAGAGACTTTGTCAAATGTTTTACTAGAATCTAGCTACATCTACATATCTACAGCATTCCTCTGGTCTGGAGGGAAAGGGCCAAAAGTCAAAACCAGGCAAGTGACAGGAAGACCCAATCGAGAGGACCAGGGAGGAAACAGAAAAGAGATAAGGAGACAAGGGTGAAGAAGGAGGAGAGGGGATAGGATTGTAGAGGGGATGGAAAGGGAGAAATACACCAGAGCCGTTGTGGGGCTAAACTTACCTCCCAGCAGAGCAGCCTTGGTCATGTCGCCACCATCAGCTCTCTATAAGAGCTGGGAAGGAACCTCTGCAACCTGGCTCCTAGCCTCCCCATCTCCACCCTACCCCAGGGACCCCATTGTGACCCGGGCTTTGGGGGAGGGGTAGGACAGGGCCACAGAGAACAGAGCCCATTAGACCCCGGAGTTCAGGCTCTAGTTCTTGTCTTTTTTTCTTTCCTTATCTAGGGCCCAGGGACCAGCATTCTTTGGCAAAACAAAACAAAGACAGAGTATCTTAAAAGAAAAAAAAGTCTTTTCCCCATCGAAGGCACAAACTGCAGGAACCTCCAGACAGAAGGGGCTCTCTGGACCAAGATCTAGCTTAGTACTGTAATGACTCCTTTGGGCTTCAGTTTCTCCCTCAGTAAAATGAAAGGTTTGAACTAGATGAACTCTGAGCTCCTTCCTTGCTCTGTGATTTTGTGTTCTCCAGGGAAGGGAATTTTACCCCATTTCGCCCCTCTCCCCTATTTCCTGGCTTCTAAACACTTCCTGGCCAAAAAGCCTGCCTGAGGTCTGACCTATATCCTTCTTGATTTAGTCAGCGGGCTGAAGATGAACCTGTGATAGAATTATCTCTCCAGATCCTCCCTCCCCAGAGATCATAAGATAGGGCCAGCGCCGCTGCAGGCTTCTGCATCTCCCTGTTCTCCTTAACCTCCTATTCCTCCGCCAGGCTTAAAGTTAGTGGGGGCTCTACCTTCTGATCCATGACCCATGACCTCAAACTCTTGGGCTCTTAAAATTCATGGAATTTTGCTACTTCTTCCCTGTGTACTGGTAAACAAACCCCTTTGCCTGCCTGAGTCTCAATTTGCTCCACTACGGAATGAGAGGGTTGGACCAAAAGATCTCTAAAGGCCCTTTTGAACAATAAATCCTAAGATTCTAGTTGTGTGGCAGGAGGGGTCCAATAGCCTCCTCACAGTGCCCTGGTGTATGAGTCTTAACTGAGGATCCAAGGTTTAATCTCCTGAGTAGAACAGGGTCCACTCTGACTCAAAGGGCCTCTGCATTCATTTTCAAACCCTGGGACCTAGAACTAGTCTGGGATCTTCTTTTCAAGCAACTCATCCCAGGATGGCCTAAAGATAGCAGGAAAGGAAATTCAGAGGCAGAGGCTGAGACAATCCTCATGTGTTTTCTGTGAGAAGGCTCTTTTAACCTGCTGGTTCCTAGAGAACAGAGGCTTTGCTTCCGGCCAGAGCCTGTAGGCTGATTATAAGGCTGAAGATACTGAAGGGCATCAGGGCCCCAAAGATGAGCCCCAGGCCGGTGAAGAGCAGGAATCCATCCAGGACTTGGCTCAGGGTAGGTGGGAGCAATGGTTCTTGTAAGTGGGGGCCTTCACCCCCTGCCCCAAGGGGTCTAAATGTTGGTCTTTGAGGCAGAGGCAACTCCAGGGGTCTACAAGAAAAGGAAAACCCATGGTGAGACTGAGGCCAAAGAGACCTTCTCTGGGCAGAGAGACCCAGGAATCTAGCCCTCTTACCCATGCACAAGGTCGAAGGTCAGGAAACTCAACATTAGAAACAGCAGCAGGAGCATCATGCCTGGTCCAGCTAGGGCCAGGACAAGGCGAGCACCGAGTCCTAGTATTCCAAGGCCCAGGGCCCCATCCAAGAGTGTGAGTGAACTCCTCAGAGACATGCCATGGTCCTCCAAAAGCCCAGGACCCTCACCAGCTTCTAGGACCCGGCCCCCGACAGGACCCATTCGATCTGTAATGACAGGATTCCTGAGGAAATAGAGATAGGAGATAGGGATGGATAAGAGAGGATGAACATAAAATAATTCCATTTTTTTTGGTGAGGCAATTGGGGTTAAGTAATGTGCCCAGGGTCACACAGTTAGTAAGTGTCAAGTGTCTGAGGCCAGATTTGGACTCAGGTCCTCCTGACTCCAAGACCGGTGCTCTATCCACTGCACCTAGCTGCCCTTAAAATAATTCCATTTTTAAAAAAGATGTGAGGAAGTTGAAAATCCAAAAGAGCAAAGAACTAGGGAAAATTCTGAGGTGAACAAAGCAAGCATTCTTATCTATGCTGGGGAAAAAAGGAAGTTCTAAGGAGGAATAAGAAAATAACAAACAACAGAAAAAAGGAAGAACTGCTCGAGTCTTCTTTTGCTTCTTTTTTCCCTACCAAGAAAGAATGATCTTTGGAACAGAACAGGCCAAAATAAGGGAGTAGGGATAGGAATACAGAGATGGGGAGAGAGGAATGGAGGAGGGAGAGACGGGAAACATCTCAACCCAACAGAAAACTACTGATAGAACACCCACTGTGTACAAAGCACTGCACTAAGCATTGGTGAGAAGACATATGCCCTGCCTTCAAGAAGGTTCTAATCTTTTTAGAAACTTTATTTATTTATTTTCAGTTTTTAGGCAATTGGAGTTAAGTGACTTGCCCAGGGTCACACAGCTAGTAAGAAGTGCTTGGTCTGAGGCTGGATTTGAACTCAGGTCCCCGACTTCAGGGCCGGTGTTCTATCCACTGCGCCACCTAGCTGCCCCCTAGAAAATTTACTTTTAACATTTATTTTTATAAAATTTATTTTCAAATTCTCTCTCTCCCTCTTGCCCTCTCCCACCCATTAAGAAGGAAAGCAATATGACATCAATTATACATGTGAAGTCATGCAAAACCTATTTCCATATTAGCCATGTTGAAAAGAAACATAAAGTGAAAAAAGTATGCTTCAATCTGCACTGAGAGTTCATCAGCTCTCTCTCTCTCCAGAGGTGGAGAGCATTTTTCATCATGGGTCCAAGAAGCTAACAATCTAAATGGGACTTGGGTAATATACACAAATAGCCATAGTCAAAAAGAGGAGGAGATAAGACCTAAGAAGTCCAGGCAAAGTGACATGAGAAATTTGATGAGAAATAAATCATTTTCCTGGGGATGAGGGGGAAGAGATTATGAAGGAAGGCTTTCTGAAAGAGAAGACTCTAAGAGTTGGGTCTTGAAGGATGGAAATAGTTGGAGGCGGTGCAGGTTGGAGGGAGCAGCTACTCTAGGCAAAGCAGATGGCTGAAGCAGAAGTACAGAGAGGACGGGGAGGCCAAGATGCCATCAGGAAACAGCTAGTGGTCCAATTGGCCTAAATCATAGAGAGTTGGGGAATAGTATGAAGACTGGAAAGCCAATTTGGAGCCAGATTATGGAATCTTGAAAGCTGGAATCATAAAGGTATACTTCACTTATAGAGAATGGGAAGCTACTGAAGATTTTGGGACAGGAGAATGGCCTGCTTAGACCTGTGCATTAGAAAAATGATAATAAAAAAAAGAAATATGATTATGGCAATTTTGTGAAGGATAGACTGCAGAGGGAAAGAATGGAAGCAGAAAGTACAATAGGAGTGAGGGTTTGAACTAGAGTGTGAGTGAAGAGAAGAGAATATTTCTCAAATATATGAAGAACTGAGTCCAATCTATAAAAATACAGGTCATTCCCCAACTGATAAATGGTTAAAGAAAGGTTAGGAACAGGCAGTTTTCAGACAAAGAAATCAAAGCTATCTATAGTCATATGAAAAAATACTCTAAATCACTATTGATTAGAAAAATGTAAATTAAAACAATTCCAAGGTACTACCTCATACCTATCAGATTGGCTAATATGACAAAAAAGGAAAATGTTGAATGTTGGAGGAGATATGGGAAAACTGGGACACTAATGCACTGTTGGTGGAGTTGTGAACCAATCCAACCATCCTGTAGAGCAATTTGGAACTATGCTCAAAGTGCTATAAAATTGTGTATACCCTTTGATCCAGCAATATCACTGCTAGGCCTATAACCCAAAGACATCCCAAAAAAGGGAAAAGAACCTATTTGTAGAAAAATATTTATAGCAGTTCTTTTTGTGGGAGCTAAGAATTGGAAATCAAAGGGATGCCCATCAATTGGGGAATGGCTGAACAAGCTGTGGTATATGATCGTAATGTAATATTACTAGCTGAAAATGACAAGTAGGATGATTTCAGAAAAACCTGGAAAAACTTATATGAACTGATGCATAGTGAAGTGAACAGAACCAGGACAATGTTGTACACAGTAACTACAGTATTTTACAATGAAGAACTATTCTCAGCAATACAATGATCCAAGATGATCCCAAAGGTCTAATGATAAAGCATACCATCTGCCTCCAGAGAAAGAACTCATATTGTTTGAATGCAGACTGAAGCATACTATTTTCACCTTTTTTATTTTTTTCTTTGATTAGAATCTTCTTGTAAAAAATGACTAATATGGAGATGTTTTACATAATTGCACATGTATAACCTATATCTGATTGCTTACCATCTCAGGGAGGGGGGAGCAGAGGGAAGGAAGGATAGAATGTGGGACTCAAAACTCTAAATAAAAATGTAAAGAGAGAGAGAGGAGAGAGAGAGAGAGAGAGAGAGAGAGAGAGAGAGAGAAAGAGAGAGAGAATGGATTTGAGAGATAGAGCTAACGCTCCAATACTCCAGGGGCTCTGTAATCTTATCAACATAGGTATTCCCAACAAAAATAAGTTTCACACGCCCTCTATCCTACACATGGCCATCTTGTACAATGCCAGTTCAAATCTTCCTATAAATTCTTTGCAAGAGATTCACTCAAAGTACTGGAGGCCTTCCTTGCGTTCTTCTTTTCTTCTTTTTTCTTTTAAATTATATTTTTGGTGTGTTTTTTTTCAATCAGCAAAAAAAAATCTGAATTCTCCCACTTCATCCCCCCTCCAACTTGAGACCTAAAGAAAAACTAATCTTGTTACAAATATGTATAGTTAAACAAACTTGTACATTGGCCATGTCTCCCCCCACCAAAAAAAAAATGTGTCTCATTCTGCACTCTGAGTCCTTCATCTCTCTATCAGGAGGTAAAAGGCATCTACCAGTCATTAGTCCTCTAGAATTGGGATTGATGATTATGCTGATCAGAGTCCCTAATTCTTTCAAGCTTTCACCTTCACCATAGTGTTGTCACTGTTCTCCTGGTTCTGTTCACTTCACTCAGCATCAGATCATACAAGTCTTCCCAGGTTTCTCTGAAATCATCCCACTCTTCATTTCTTAGAAACAATAATATTTCATCACATTTATATGCTATAATTTGTTCAGTCATTCCCCAGTTTATAGGTACCCCCTCAGATTCCTATTCTTTGCTCCTTCAAAAGACCTATAAATATTTTTGTACATCCTTAGAGATTGCCTTGCTTCGAACTAATCCCTCTCTTAATCTTCTCTTTCTCTAAATTCCCTTCTTCCCTTCTCCCCTTTCCTTCCTATTTCCTTGTTGAATGAAATGCATTTCTCTACTCAACTCTGTGTGTGTTCTTCCCTCCTTTAACTAGTTCTGATGAAGGTAAAGTTGAAGTATAGATATTTGCTCTGTACCATAATTAAGTGAGATAATTTTCCCTAACCTTCTTTTCTCTTCCCGCCCCCCATCTCTTTCCTTCCCCTCTCTTTCCATTCTTCTCTTAAGATCATCAGGATGTAACAGAACCACTCCAGGGCTTGTCTAATTAGACTCCCTAATTTTTTTTTTTGCTCAAACTGGGTTTTTTTTTTCTTTCAAGTTTTTGCTCAAACCTGTGTGGCATTGTTTATAGATGTTTTGAAGTCATTTGCTTTGCATTTGTGTATTGAACAGCCCTGCTCATTCTGGTAGGGGTCTTGTTTGTTTGTTAGTTTTCTCATTCTTCCAGTCTGCTTCCTGATTTGAGACTTGGTATTAGAGCTGGGATCTGCCACACTTCTGCAGGGAAGGTCTAGAGTGCTCTTGCTGCTTTCTTGGGTCATGAACTCTTATGTTATTCCAGGATCTTAAGGACAGGTTGGGGACCTGAAAGCTTTCAGTGCTATCAGAGTGGTTTGATCCAGGGCAAATTTTGATTGCTACCCCCTTCCCGACACGCGCCCCCACCCCCACCCCCTGCCCCGGATCTGAGTTCCGCATGTTCCTGACCTGGGTTTGGGTCTATGCAAGAGTAGATTGCTGCTGGATTCAACCCTTACCAGCCAGTTGGAAAGCACTGTTGGTTCAGAATGACAGAATTGTCAGCCTTCCCTTTGGCCTGGGGTTCCTTCCCTGGATATTCCTCTATCTGCCCTGGATCTATGACCCAGAACTGGGTAGTGAGTGACAAAGGTACCAATTTACTTCTGTCTGGGTCTGGGACCTCCTCTTGCCCTGGTGCACAGCCTCTCCCTGGAAGCTGGAGTAGAATGTATTCTTGCCCTGACCCAGTCCTTAGCATCAGCAGACCTCTCTATTTGTCTCCCTATACCAATCTGGGATGGACAAAGAACTCAGTGACTTTTTCTGTATTTCCCCACCAAGATTCAGTCAGGTGCCTTTTCTAGATCTGCATGGAGGATTTGTGGATACCTGCTTGGCTGCGTTGCTTTCTGATAGGCTTTTCCATGCATTTTCTGACACTGCTTGGATAACAATGGAGCACTTAAAGAGAGAGGAATGAGTTCGGACAGGGTTTGCGGAAAAGGTTAGAGTTAAGGCTGAGTTTGATCGGTTACAAGAGCACCATTGTGGAAGATGTCCAATAGGAAGAAACATATAACTAGGGCAGGGTTGACCAAGGTTCTGCCCCAGGGTGCCAATATTTACAGGGCACTGACAGCATTTATAATCATTCAGGAGCATAGAAATGGTGGCACTTAGTATCTTGTTAGTAAGAATCATGATTTAAAATAGAAAGTTACCAGGTGGCCCCTTCCTCCAGTTTGCTAGGTCTTATTGCATCTCAGATGAACATCCCTTCAGGCAGTGGTCTACTTAGCAGCAACTTCTTAGTATCCTAGGTCTGTACCCTGACAACCATAACTGTCTTACAAAGTCGATTTGATGTTATGTTATTTCATAACACTTTCTCAAGGTAAAAAATTGCTAGTAATGTCTCTGCCAGCAGGACTGGAGCTCAAGGGAGATATCAGGGATGACTATATAGATATGGGTATCATCTACACAAATATACAGTATCTACACAGAGATGGTAATAATGGAACCATAGAAGTGGATGAAATTGTCTAGGAAGAGACAGAGAAAGAAGAGAGCTAAGGATAGCATCTGGGGGGAAATGGGTGTGAAAGGAAGATGAGGAGCCAGTGAATGACTCATTTCCCAAAATGTGTTGTTCAGAATTGAGTCTAATATTCCAGATATGATAATAGCCAGGACATTGTCCAGAAGAGCTTTTTGCCTCCCATGTTCTGAATACTAAGCTTCTATTTATGAAGCCTGAAATAGAAAAATGGTTAAAGAGATAGGAGAAAAGCCAGGAGAAAACAGCAACATGGAAAACAAGGGAGAAAATGGTATCTGGAAGGAGCAGGATAGTAATAATGTAAGATGTGGCTGAGAAGCCCATGAGGATGATGCAGATGTTGAAGAGAGAGAAATAGTGACTTGAGGAAGGAGGAGAGGTGGAAGAGGGGGAAAATAAGGCAAAGATGGGAAGGTTATTGATCATAGGTTCATAGCTTTATAGATGGAAGGGATCTTAAAGGTCATTGAATCTAATCCTTATTTTATAGATGAGGAAAATGAGGCATAATGACACCCCCAAGATCATACAACTACTAAGTATCTGAGGCAGAATTTGAATCCAGGTCTTTTTGAAGTCCAGGGTCTTGCCCATTATAGTGTACTGCCTCAGAGATAAGAAGATAACAGTAGAAGAAATGATTCTGGGGGGACAGATTTGGGAAGGAATGAGGGAGACAGGGCTAGAGAAGAGACAGATGGAGAAATGGGGCTGGGGAGGCAGGGGTAGAGAGGTAGAGATGGAGGAGACAGGGTTAGGAGAGAGAGACAGAGATACAGGGATGAGGAAGCAGAGATGAGGAAGAGAGAAACAGGAAATTGGAGACCCAAGAAAAAGATGGGGGGCCTTATGGGGAGCACCTCTGGGGAGAGGGTTTGGAATATAGGAAGATATAGAGTGACCTGAAGGAGATAACCAGAGATGGGGAGACAAGAACCCTGGTGATGAAATGGGGGACAGAGGTGTCAATGTCAGCACCTAAGTAGGGTAGGACCTAAAGTTATGAGGAAGAGGACGATGAACTCAAGACAGCTAGGACCTGGGGTGCAGGCAGCCCTAGAGATGCCAGCTTAGCTCCTTGCCAAGTACAGGGAGCAAGCAACATTCCGGCCCAGCTCTGCTAGAACACAGTCACTACTGTGGAATCCCGTGTTCCTTTTCTCCCTCCCCAATCTCCCCACTCCTCACCTTCTCCCTATCGGGCCTGCCATTCTGGGGACATACACTGCCAGGGGAGAGGGAAGGCATTGTGACCTATAGAGCAGGGGCTACTCCAGAGGTCATCCTTCCCCCCGCCCCGCCCCACATACACATAATAGCTGTGACCAAATTCTCTTTGGACCAGCTTGATCCACAATCATGCCCAACCTTGGACAGTGAGAGAGGGGGGGAAGTATAGAGAAAGATTTCCCCGGTTCATTTGTTCCATTTGTAACTCTTGGTTCAAAGGGCTCATTGCATGGAACTATCCTCATTGTTAGAGACTAATTGCTTGGTGCTACTCACATGCATAAGGAGTGGAGTTGGGGAGAGCTGGAAAGAAGAGAGAACCTGGTCTTCTGGCTTCTAGCTTCAAAGGAGAAAACTCTCATGTCAGACTCTCTTCAGGTCTCTGAAGGGGGAAAGACTCTAGGAAGAAGTCAACATGTAGAGGAGCTGACACTTAGATTGTGTGTCTATTCCCAGCTTACTATATTGGAAACTTCAGGGAATTTCCCCTTGGCTGAGATCTGGCCCTGTCTTCTCTTAGTTGAGCTGAGTTCTCCTCAACTAAGAGGAGAAGTCATTCACTCTAGGTTGTCTGATACATATTGTCCTTTGTATACTTTCTCTGATTTCTATTTTGCTATCCACTTGGATCAATGTGTTTATTTGCTGTTTACTATGTGAATTCATTATGGAACTAGCATTTATTGGCAAGGTAGTCAAGCTTGGGGCACTTTGTTCCCGTTAAGGTATAGTGATCAGGAGTGCAGCTTGAACTTAAAAATCATTTCCCCTAGACTAAGAACATTTAAGGGAGAAGATAGATATATAGATATAATTTTAGCATGGTAACCCCCTCTCTGAGGAGAACACATCTTTTGTTTCATGCCAAAGGTGATGTCTTGACTTGTGAGGCAGAGTTGTGTGGACAGCCTCCGGCCTCAACCTTCTGTTTCTTTTCCTCACAGGAACAGTCTCCCTTGGATAAGGGTGGAGGTAGACTCTACAAATACCTATTCTTGCCTCCTGGCAAGTCAGATCTAAACAGACCCATGTGGACACACATAACCTACATGGGCACAACAGGAGCCCTGGAAATAGAGAGTAACTGGGCAGGACTTACCAAGATCACTAGAGCCTCCTCTCCTCCCCCCACCACGCTCACACCAGGACCATCTGGGCCTTCATCCCCATCCTTCCTGATCTTCAACCCTGGCTGAACTGGAAATCCATGGTAGTGACAATGAGTATGGTTCCTTCAGCCTGGGCAGCTTCAGCAAGGCAACCATGCTGGAACCAGGGGAGAAGAGATCTAGAGTTTGGAGGACAGGATTGATGCTTTTATACGAACAAGACAGTTCAATTTTTTTTTCAATTTTTCAAAAATCTTGCAGAAGGAAAACAGTAAAGGCAGTGACCACAACAATGGAAATAGAAAGAACGACAGGGAAAAAATAATGAATGCCATAAAATTACATGGTCAAGCTTGGTGCCAAAGAAGAGATGAAAAGGCAATGTTTTCCTTCTTGGGAGAGGGTATGAACTATGGGTTTGGAACATTATACATAACGTCATACTTGGGTAATGTGTGGGTTAGCTTTGCTGAGCTGTGGATTTTCCCCTCTCTTTTAAAATTCTTCACTGCAGGGGATGGCTCTCTAGGAGGGGACAGGGATGGAATATAATTGGAAAGTGTAACTGATTGTAAAAACAAAAGGTATCAATTAAAAAAAATCCTAGAGCTTTTATCAAATAGTGGGATCAATATGAATCTCAGAATCTCAGAATTGGAAAGGACCTCCAGGTCCGTGTAGTTTCACCTGTGCCTGGACAAGAATTCTCTTCACTGTGTGTCAGACATTTGGTCATCTGGCCTTTGCTTGAAGGCCTCTTTTAAGGAAGAATTCATTAGCTCTCAAAGGAATCCATTTCACTCTAGTAGAGTTCCAGTTATTCAGAAGATTTTTCTTTATATCAAACCCAATTCTGCCTTTTTGCATCACCTCTGTATAGATGATTCCTAAATCTACTTATGCTAGTCTTTGTCTCCCTCCTGAATTTTTCCCCACGTAATTATAGCTGGTATTACATGGATGTCCTACCAGCACCTCAAACTCAATGAGTTAAACACAACTAAACAATTCCTCAAACTTAGGCCTTCTCCAAACCTCTGTGTTTCTATTGAGGGCATTTCCATCCTCCTTAACAACCTCAGAGTCATTCTTGACTCATCTCTTACTGTCATATTCAGTCAGGTCCTAATCCCCATATCTCTAGTGTCTGTCCCTTCTCTGTACTCATATGGCTTTATGGTAGGGCTACTATCTATCAGGGTCCTTCCCTCCCCTCAACCAGACACATTTCCAAAGGGGCCTTGTCTACCTAAGCCAAATGTGTCAGTATCTTTGTTGAATATCCTCTCTATATTATGGTAAGTAAACCTTTTGTTAACTGTTTGGTGACCTATGAGCATCTCAGTTTGTTCCCATACCAAACAATTTAACAGGGACCAGCTGCAGTCAGATCCACCAATTACAACTTCATACCCTATTTAGGGTCCTCATCACCTCTTCCTTAGATTATTTCAGTATGGTTCTAATTGGCTTCTCTGCTTTCATTCAGACTCATCATTCTTTAATCTATTCTCTGCAGGGATGCCAAATGAATATTCTCAAAGCACATATAAGGGATGCATATTCAGGTAGGCATGGACCATATGTTTCTCTGTGGTTTATGCCTCCCAAAAAATTAAGGGGAAGAGAATTCTACTCATCACAGAGATGCTCTGAACTGCCTTTGCCATCAGTGTATCCACAGCATGTTGAATGAGAGTTATTTTTCTGAGTTTAGATTTTCTTCTCTTTTCTCCATGACCTACATCATGGGGAGGTCCTTGCATAGAAAGTACTCTGACCCTGTGCTCAAACAGATTCTGGATTCATCTTGGGGGTTGCTTAACCCCAAAGTCAGGAGATCAAGTTTTTCTTGATCTCTTTGGCTTGTAGAGTAAGACTATCGGGTGGGGGAGAGAATCTCTAACACAAAGGCTAGGTATGTTTCATGCCTCAGATCTCTACAAAAAGTATTAATGGGGGCAGCTAGGTGGCATAGTGGATAGAGCACCGGCCCTGGATTCAGGAGGACCTGAGTTCAAATCCGGCCTCAGACACTTAACACTTACTAGCTGTGTGACCCTGGGCAAGTCACTTAACCCCATTGCCTAGCAAACAAACAAACAAACAAACAAACAAATAAAAGTATTAATGGACCCCTCTCTCTGAAATGTACATCAAGGGGCAGCTAGGTGGTGCAGTGGATAGAGCACCGGCCCTGGTCTCAGTTGAAATCTGACCTCAGACACAACGCTTACTAGCTGTGTGACCCTAGGCAAGTCACTTAACCCCCATTGCCTAGCCAAAAAAAAAGAAAAGAAAAGAATGTACATTGATATTCCTTCCCCAAATTGATTATTAGTCTCTCCTTTCAGAAAAGATATACAATGTTCAAAACAAATAGAAGATATAGGACAGCTATGTATTTCCTCCACCACAAGAGAAATGCTTTAAATGCACATGTACACACACACACACACAAAATGTGCATTAACTTAAAACATAAAAGAAGAAAGACGTGTTACCATCATTATATTCTCCTGAAAGGTAAAGGCAACATTGTGAGACTGTTAAAAAAAGATTATTTCACCTTCCCCTCAGACCTACACAGTCTAGGCAACTCATAAGATTCAGATCTCCTGGCCAATCGGAGCTTGCCTTGAGCTTTAACAAACTTTTCAACTGCAGCATCCTCTTGTTGGTGGCCATCTCCTCATAGAAGCTATGCAGTTACAAGAATTGTGGTGACCAGCCAGCACCAATCCAGGGGCCCAGGAACTCTTGAATTCACAAAATAGTCATCAAAGTTAGAAATGTTCTTTTTTCACAGGTTTGCTGGTTTCTGGATATAGATCTATTCTCAGGGAAGAAACACAGAGACAGAAGAAACCAGCCAGGAGCTTGGGTTCGCCTAGGTAAGCACATGTTGCTTCCTGTGTGGCTATAGCTATAATTGCCACTGGGTAGAAGAAAGACATTCTCTGCTTCCTACTTACTGGAAATCCTAAAAAGAAAAATGCAGGAAGTCCTACAGGAGCCGACTAAAAAGACAAAGATTGGAACATTTCTACAATTATTATAGCCTGCTAGGAGTGGGAAAGTGATCAAGGCTTCCACTAACTCTGAGAATAGTTATCTTTGATGTAACCCAGTCATAAAGATCAAGGGTCCAATCAGGAGTTGCTGGGTCACATCACAGCTCGGTGGGAAGTACTACAGTTCATTCATCCCTGCTACAGTAAAACACACACATATGTACATATAGACATCTCATTCAATTTCAATATATTCTTCCTCACTCCCTCAGCCTTTGGAGCCAACCCAATTAGAATAAAAGAATAAAAGATAAAGAGAAGAAAAAGAAGTTTAGCAAAACTAAGCAACAGACCAATAGATTCTGACAGTACATGTAATTTTTCATACCAATAGCCCTCTTTACTCCTGGAAAGAAGAGAAGGGATTACGTATTTTCTCATGTCTTCTCCTGGACCAAGGCTCATCAATATAATAGCACTGCATTCAGTTTAACTTTTTTTCTGTTCTATTTACATTTTAATAGTCATTGTGTACATTGTTTTCTTGTTTCTGCTTGCTTCACTCTGCATCAGTTCATGTAAGTCTTCCCATGCTTCTTCAATACTTTCATATTCATTGTTTATGATGCAAAGATTTGTTTTTCTTAAAATGAAGAGTTTATCAAGTTCCCCTACCCATTTTAATTCCTACATTAAAACATTTTCAAATAAGTAATTTTTATGGTACATCAATATCCACACTTTAAAGAAAAGGAGCATGGTGCTTATATAAACTTATATATCTGAAAGAGATGAGTGGAAGATTATTCTTTACTGTAAACATACGGCCTCAGGAAAGCTGGAGATAAGGGATA